ATAAAAAATCTTTCTAAAAAAAAAAAAAAAAAAAAAAAATATTAATTAAAAAAAGCCCAACCCGTTTTTTAGTTTTTTTTTAGTCCTGTTCTGTCCTTGTATGGTCAGTGACGTCATGGGGCATTCACAGGCTCTTCTTAAACGCATACTACGACATAAAGTTTCACTTATTGCTGCGGCACATATGAAGGGCGCTGATGAGCTCAAACAGACCGAAGCGCGCGTTTATGATGACAGCACTGAAGTGAGCATATTTACAGCACGTCAACTAGATCCTAAAAGCTCTGAGAACAACTGAATAAAATTCAACTTCTTTAAAAACACCGAGGATCAAAATGACAGCGACAGCGACAGCTAGGGATAAAATGAACGCGTCGCTAAATGATTTGACGCGCTGTCTGCCACACGGCTTCTCTCTGGAGGAGATCCCCGCATCGGGCTCCTCTCATGGGGATGTGGGGGTTTGTTCTGACCAGTTCAGTGAGGCGTCGGGAGGTAAGAAAATATAAGCATGCTTACAATAATACAAGTAATATTCAGAAGAGCTGTAGATCAGTAACCAAAAAGTTTTGAGTAAAAATAAAAAGCCTGTGTGTTTGTTTGCTTGCTTATAAATTGGTTTTAAACAACTAGTTTAAAGCTGTGGTGAATTTGAATAATTAGCTCCAATCATCCTGTTGGATAAACAAGTAAACATCATAATGCAACAGAGCATAAACTCTTGTTATCTCGTTACCTAGTGCTTTTACGTTTTAACGATTTATTAATTAGAATTTCTGTTGTCCAAATCAAATTTTTTTTTTTTTTGCACGTTACTCTTTACTTCATCCTTGTTTTTATTAACTACATGTGTTTGTGTTTTATTGTGTGTATATTGCGGTGACAAGCCTATAGTCTTATGTCGGGGCATGTTGTCACAAAAGCTGAAAGTGTGCTCACTAAACTGTATTTTTCAACTGTGGAAATATTCAATACTTTTTGTAGCCAACGCGTGTCCATACACTGGCTGACTTTCTAAACAATTTCAAAACAAACTCTCATGGAGTACAAATTTCATGACAAATTTTAAATAGGTTATTTATATCACCTGCTGGGTTTGTCCCTATTTTACCCAGCACTGGGTTGTATTTAACCCAGCATTTTTTTAGAGTGTACATTATACCATGTGCCGAATACGCGGTTTGCTGGAAATACACGCTTCACCTAACGCAATAAGAACGAATTGCTCAATAGAAACGTCTTGTTTTTACTCCACAGGTGGCTTGAGCACTGACAGCTTCGGCGTGGGAAAACGGGGCCTTGAACTGACAGACCCGAGCAAGTTTTCGCCACACAGTGCGCCTATCGCCTACACAGGAAAAATTTACATCGACGCGCAAGGAAGTTGGAATCAGGAGGGAATAATAAACTTTGTTAGTGCAGGAGTGCAAGATAGGCCACCTTCCCCGGGATCATTCTCCACGGGCTCTCCCTCAGACCTCACTCCAGACTGCTCCAAAATAGGCCAGACTCTTGCCAACATGGATCATATGTACACAGGCCCACCCCCATACACCTGTAGTGCCGATGGTTACCAGGACCCCTCGGCTTACCTATCGACCACCACGTGCCCCATAACATACGCCACTCCGTCCTACTCAACCCCAAGGTCAACTATAGACGGGACGTTTTTCTCCATCATTCCCGACTACGGGGGGCTCTATCAGACCAGCAACAGCCAAAGGGACAACATGGCTGTATTTCAGGACATCAAGCCATTCTCATGCTCTCTGGAGTCTATCAGAGTCCCGCCACCTCTGACTCCCTTGAACACCATACGAAATTTTACTCTGGCTTGTCCGGTAGATGGGCCGAGGCCGCCTATAGACTGCGCCAATCCGCAGAATGTCCCATTCAGGCCAATACTGCGGCCACGGAAGTACCCGAACCGACCGTGCAAGACGCCAGTCCACGAGCGGCCGTACCCCTGTCCGGCTGAGGGATGCGACCGGAGGTTTTCGCGCTCGGATGAGCTGACGCGCCACCTCCGCATCCACACCGGCCACAAGCCGTTTCAGTGCCGCATCTGTATGCGCAGCTTCAGCCGCAGCGACCACCTCACGACGCACATACGCACACACACGGGCGAGAAGCCCTTCTCCTGTGACTTCTGCGGCAGAAAGTTCGCCAGGAGCGACGAGCGAAGGAGGCACACAAAAATCTTCAGCGATGTGAACTAACAGTTTAACAAGTTCTGACTGCTGGGTTAGTCGTTGCCTCATTTAACTCTGGAAGTTTGTGTGCGCACAAATGTACGATGGCAGCTTATGATTTAAGTGTTGAATGTGTTTTGCTGTAGTAACTAGACAACGTCCTTATTATCACAGAATATTTCATGTGCATTGTGCAAACTGCAGTTGTTCTATAGTGTTTACAGTGAGTCTTTTTATTGCCATTATTACTGTCATGTGTTTGAATAAAATGATAATGACCACAAGGTATATTTTTTGAGAATCATTGGAAGGGAAATTAAATGCTGTATGGGATTACAAAGTTATAACACTAGAGGTCGCACTTTGACAAACTATTGATTGCGGCTAAATAATACTTTAAAGGGGTCATATGATGCTTTTTTAAAGATCATTATTTTGTGTATTTGGTGTAACAGAATATGTTGACATGCTTTAATGTTCAAAAAACATTATTTTTCAAATACTGTACATTATTGTAGGTCCTCTGTGCCCCGCCTCTCTCAAACCCGTTTTCTACAAAGTCCCTCCTTCCGACAAGCGCAGTCTGCTCTGATTGGCCAGCTGACCCAGTGCATTGTGATTGGCCGAACACCGCAAGCACTCGTCGGAAATGTAACGCCCCTTACCATAATCGCGAGCTTCATCTTTCAAAATAAATGTAAAGACAGAGCCCGAAAGGGGAACAGAGTCACGTGACAGACACAGTGATGAAGCTGGTATGTGTTTGCAGTACACAAGCCACGGTTAAGACAGCTGACTCCACTGTGATGTGACCCTGTCTCTCTCTCGCTCTCTTGCGCGCTCTCTCTCTCTCGCTCTCTCTCTCTCTCGCTCTCTCTCTCTCTCGCGCTCTCTCTCGCGCGCTCTCTCTCTCGCTCGCGATCTCTCTCTCTCGCGCGATCTCTCTCTCTCGCTCACTCGCGCTCTCGCTCTCTCTCTCGCGCTCTCTCTCGCTCTCTAGCGCTCTCTCTCTCTCTCTCTCTCTCGCACTCTCTCTCGCGCTCTCTCTCTCTTTCTCTCTCTCTCGTGCTCTCTCTCTCTCTCACTCGCGCACACACACACACACTCAACACTAACTGCGGTTACTGAAACCACGCCTTCTTTCTTTGCGTGCACATTTGGGCGGCATTATGCCAATATTTCCACATAGTGAGGTAGATATGTGGGGGCGTGTTAGAACGAGCCGTTTTAGGGGGGCGTGGCAGAGTCTTAACTTTGATAAAGAATATCTCTTTGGTTTTGAGACTTTAGTCTTTGCAACTTCAGGGATCTTATCTATGCACAATCAGCTTGTAACACTCCAAAGAGAAAGGAAAACTTGAAATCGCATCATATGACCCCTTTAAGAAAAGCTTGCAAGTAAAACATACACTGGCATGCAAAAGAGTAATAAGATTCTTTTTGAAAGAAATGGATACTTTTATTAAGCAAGGACGCATTAAATTGACAGTAAAGACATTATGTTACAAAATATTTGGATTTCAAATAAATGCTGTTCTTTTGAACTTATATTCATCAAAAAATTACAAAATATTAAACAGTACAACTGTTTTCAACATTGATAATTATAAGAAATGTTTCTTGAACGCCAAATTAGCATATTAGAATAATCTCTGAAGGATCATGTGACACCGAAGACTAAGTAAAATTCAGCTTTGCCATCACTGGAATAAATTACATTTTAACATACAGAAAAACAGAAAACTATTATTTGAAATTGTTATATTTCACAATATTGCTGTTTTTACTGTATTTTATGAAAAAATCAGCCTTGCTGAGCATAAACGACCTTTGAACTGTTGTGGATGTTGGCTGTAATGTGCTTCTAACTCTAAAAAGTATTTAAAAAATCAAAACTACAACAAGTTTCTATTGCATCTTTTATTAGCAGAAATCAGAGGAAAAACACAACTTTAATTTCTTAAGTAAAATATACATCATATTCTTCATATTTCGATTGTCTTTTTAATTTTTCTGTGCTTATTTTATTTTTATTTTTTTACATGTCATCCTTACTAAGTGCTTTATTGTAATAATTAACAGAAGTGTTAAAAAAAAGTATCCAGTGTTACGTAGGCCAATTTGTCACGATTGTTGCAAAACATTTCAGTGTTCTGATACCTTAATGCATTATTAACACAATATAGCAATGGAAACAAGATGAGCAGATTCCTGCTCTGATATAATATGTGAAGCCTTTGTCAAACCAAATCTCACACCTGCTGCAAATACTTAAATATTTATCACATGCTAAACAAAGCCAATCCAGGCAAAAGAGAAAGAACAGACTAGTTCTTTTGTTGAACCTGTACACAAAATCTGGACAGTCTTCGTGCAACACACTGGAAATGTATGGACACATGTAGAAAATAACAGCCAAAAGACGATTAAAAGTTAAAGACCGCAGCTGTGATAAGTGCCTAGGTATTTCAAATAAACCACTGTACTCTTGATAAGCTAGCCAGTCTGACATGTAAGGAAAAGAACATGGAATCTCTTGATTAACAGAACCCAGTTTATAGTCAGATCCTTCAGAGGGACACTTGAGGCCCTGGGTAGGGTTCACCACCACACCAGAATTCACTAGGCTGTGGGATTTCCATAAGCCACAGGTCACCCCGTTCCTGGGCTTCACTCTTTCTATCTACAGCCTCTGAATGGCCATGCAAAACTTTATAATAATGGCAGTCTCTCCCTTCATCCGGATCATATGGCGGTGATAAGATGTCAAGGAAAGCGGTGGCTCCGTCAACAGCGTCTATCTGGTGGATATTGTCCTTTTGGGGTGACAGCACACACGGACCGTTCTCCTCCGTGTATTCCCCCACCGCCCTCAGCACCGAGGGCCGAAGCGAGCTGCTCTGGAAGGGCATGAGCGGAGGGGTGAACTGCACACCGCTGGCACCATCTCGAGGTTTATCCAACCTGTCGAAACAGCTGATTCGCACCTTGCCGTAAATCACTTTCAGCATGCCGTGCATTCCCGGATGATCATGCAGCGGTATCGAAGCGCCCGGTTTTAATAAAAACACCCCCATGCTGAACGTGTCGGTCTCGTAGATGTGCATGTATGTAACGGGAGGCGCGACACGCTGAGACGGCACCGGGGCGCTCTCGGTGGTCCGGGGTGCGATCTTCAAGTCCGCCGCTCTGACCTCCGCCATAAGGCTTTTCAGCTTACTCAGATTTTCCAAAAACACTTTATTGTGATCTCCGACAACCGAGGGATTTCGGAATGTCGTGAGGGCCTGTCTGGCGATTTTCTGGACAGTGGAAGTCATGTTGTCTCGTGGCATCATCACGCAAGTGTCCAGGCAGCGTCAACTTGACATTCAACTTCGCGCCACTTTTTTACGCACCTTGCTTCTTCTGCGATATCGAGTGCAAGTCCTGTTTCAGAGATGACTTCTTATTTATGCCATCAAAATCATGTGTAAAAGCTTAAGCGCAGCCTTAGGAATACCGTTAGGATCAAGTCACTCCTGTCCATAACTACTCCATATACAGGCATCCGATTCACACGTACGCAATGTCAACACTGTTAGACGTCATGCAGAGAATTATGGGAAATGTAGTTTTTTTCCACTATTGTGACACTTAAATGCTACTACTAAACGAATGGTTCTAGAACTTGTCCTTTAATGTTTGTAAACTTTAGCCAAACTTGTCTGTCACGCATTAAAAGATCTTCGCGAAGTTCCTATACGGACGTTGCACGAGATATTATACGTAAACCGGTTACTACAATCCCCATAACATTTGCTTTTCAAGGGGCAACGACACTTCAGTCTTTCACCGCCACTCAGACAACACTCACGCTCTGAAAAAAAGAGGTCATGGTCAAGAGGACATATCAAATTATAAATATCATTGCATTAAACACAAAATATAAATGTTTTAAGAAAGAGAGCACAAGCACAGATTTCAGGGGAAAAAAAAAAAGTTTGTTAGGTTGTAAATGCCAACCCTATAGAAATGGCAAAAGGAATGGAACAGATATAGTTCAAACTCAAAACAAAAAGTATTTGGACACTTTTGGTCATCAAGCATTAATAGTTCATGTGATGAGCAGCGCTGACATCTGTGTGAGCTTGAGGGGAATGGACTCATGACCATAGCAAGATATTAGGTCATTTTTCATGTTCAAAAGTAAAATTTCTGCTCTCTGAATGACTAATCTGCTGTTACAGTTTAAAACTCCTCATGTGAGTGTCTGCATGTACAATTAAGTTTAGACAGCAATGGTTATTAATGAAAACTATAGACCAATTATAGGTTTGTAAACATTCAGGATGCGCGCGCATCATGATTGCAGAAAACCCGGGAGAGATAGCCTTTACGGCTAGAAAATTTCACGGATACGGTACAAAATAGTTAGGTTTAAAAAGATTATAAATTATATTGATTAGATGTCATTTTCAAAATGTTCTCCGCATATTACAGGAGCTTGTCACCCAGCGATAAGCACTGTTATTAAAGGGGTCATATGATGCGATTTCAATTTTTCCTTTCTCTTTGGAGTGTTACAAGCTCTTGGTGCATAAAGAAGATCTGTAAACTTGCAAAGACTAAAGTCTCAAATCCAAAGAGATATTCTTTATAAAAGTTCAGAGTCAGCCACGCCTACCTAAAACTTTAAACCGCATAAACACATTTCATTACACCAAATAATGTTCTTTTTAGCAGCATCATATGACCCCTTTAAACGAAATTGACGTTAGAGAGTGCGATTGTCTTACAGATCCGAAACAGGGATGACGGTTTTTGTGGGCGGAGCCTATCTGGTGGCAGAAAACTCACTATTTTTGAGTTAAATCCGAATTAGGAGATATAAACTTGCATTTGCGAGAAAAAAAAAGTCAGAATTGTGAGATAAAATAAATAAATGTTATGTAAAAACGTTAATAGTAAGGTTTAAATAATATTTCTAATAGTAAGGTTTAAATAATATTTCATGCTGTAACTGTAGGGCTAATACAATATGTCCCCTAT